TTCCAAAATTGTTCGGAAAAGACTAAGATGACCACTGTTTGTTACTGTACTGTCAATGTGTTATGTCTGTCCAAACAGAAATAATGTGGTTAAACATCAAATCAGAACACAACATTCTGTTTTCATCTTTTTGGGCAAGATGTATGCCGTCAGTTTTGGGCATGTTCCTTCAAAAAAATCAATGTTTCACTCATTTCTTCTCTCCAGTGTTTAGCCTCAGCCTACTGTGGCTCTGCTTCTCACTGAAGTTTACTTACATCAGACTTTCATACCAAACAACACACGACATAAGTCTTTGTGCCTTAAGTAACGAGGCGTACACTCACGGATGTATTACATTACACTGGGCGCCTCTTCAGATTCAGATTCAGATTCATTTATTAGCCATGTGCAGTATAAAAACTACATTGGAATACATTCGCAAAAAAGGTACTCTGTGTGCACCCACAGAAAAAGAGCACGATACAATGTAATATAAAATACACATACACTGGAAATAAAAGAATAAAAAAACAGCTGACACTGTGGCACTGATCAACAAAAACGATACTTTTGATCTTGTACAGTGCTTCCCAACCATTTTGAGCAATGGCGCATGGCTCATGAAACTCTGCATTCTCATCAAATTATGTGATAAAGAAAATCAAACAAGCACATAAGTCTTTCTCGTCTTTTGACAATATTTTCTTTCCACATCAGTTTGAGAATGTTCATGGTTTTAGGAGCAGGCTCGAGACACCTTGATAGACCAGCTTTTGATTAGAATGTATTATTGAATGTTATTTATCTAAGAGACATACCTATTATTTAGTTTTAGTGCCAAAGTCATAACTAAAATATCTATGTTTTACTGTGTATTGTATGGTTTTAGTATCCCCAGTGTTTCCTTTGGAGGAGCCCTCTGCACTGGGAGCAGTAGATCCATGCTGTGGACCTGGTGGAGGTCTGGAGCTTGATGTCTCCTCTTGGTCCTGTATCGTCCACTGTGGCTGCAGGCGGCTCTCTGCTCCTGGGGCATGACACTTCTTCAGATGGATATCCTCACACTGCCCTTTATCTTTTCATAGTTTTACCTATGTTACCCTGATGTGACTCTGTGTGTGTGAGAGGGAGAGTGTGTGTGTGTGTGTGTGTGTGTGTGTGTGTGTGTGTGTGTGTGTTGGGTGGCCAGGTTGACATGTCAAGTGCATGAGGGATTGTTTTTAACCAAACTTTGGCACTTTGCGTTGCCTTTTGTGTATCAAAAGTGCTTTATAGTTAAATTGTGATTGCTTGATATTGGATCATTTTTAAAGGCACACCAAACTAGAGCTGCAACTAACGATTATTTTGTAATCGATTAATCTATCGATTATTTTTACGATTAATCGAGTCATCGCTTGGCTGTGAATTGTGTAGAAATTTTTTATCTTTTAATCCCAAAAAGCTAAAGTGGCTACACTCGAGGACGTATTGATGGCGTAAACTTAAAGTAAATGTTTGTAACAGGCTCTTTGTGCTAATTCTGCTATCTGATTGGATGAGACAGACAGATATTCATGAAATTATAAAAACAAAGTCGGTTTGAATCAAAAATACTACATTTTCATGTCATTTTTGCTCTGTTTGAGTCCATGTGAACCAGAAAACGATTAATCGATTACTAAAATAGTTGTCGACTATTTCAATAATCGATTAGTCGTCGATTAATCGATTAGTTGTTTCAGCCCTACACCAAACATCCCAAAGTCAACTAACACACTGATGAAAAACATTGGCTTGTAACATCACTATTGAGTAAAGCTAGAGGGCAGGGCTTTGGTTTCCAAAAGTAAAATTCACCTTTTAAAAACCTCATAGGTGTTTCAAGAATTCCAAATATGGCACATTTTCAGTCTGTTAGGAACTATTTTTCGAAATTAGAATTTAACAGTAGAATTTTTTCATCCTGACACTCTGCCTGATACTAATACATGCCAAAACATTTTTTGTGAACAGGGTCATAGGGTAAAAACTTGGTTAATAAACCAAAAAATAGTTTATTACAATACACCTTGAGTCTGCAACTACTTATGAGAGTAAAATGTTATAATATGAATAAGAGTTCAAGTTGAAAACGTCTCTGGCATTGACATGTCATATGCAAAATGAATGTGGTTAATAATCAGGCTGAGAAGATTGTTGCGTGGGACGTTTTGGAGCTATAGTCCCTGAACTCGGCTGTCGGGCCTGCGCTGGGGCAGTGTCAATGTCACAGCTGTAGATTATAGCTGGAGGTTACTCTCAAAAAACAGCGAGTAGCGCCGTATAAGCTAACACCAAATGTCCACACAGATCTAAGGGTCAGGAGTGGACAAGAACAGGCTGCCGGGCGTACACACTTATTCCAGAAGAGAGTGACAGGTCGAGGTATAGCCTGTCCAGGGGCTCTGCGGAGAAATGTGATCGCGCTCAGATCCTGACCCCAAAGACACAGAGTGGCAGTAATGGATATCAGGTAGACAGGATGTTTTTGCATTCAGCACCAGTCCACCGCACTTAGTAAATCCAATGTTTATAATTAGTTCCACTTGACTCTTTGCGTTTGTTTCACTGGGTATACTTGACTTGATAAAATCGTTGATAATGTTACACCGACAAGTTTGAATGTTTGTTTATACCTTTTAACGTGTGCCTTCATTAAACATTATACATATTTTTAAAGCTCGGGTGCCTATCATTTTTATGTCATGAATAAAACATTATGTTTGTCCCAACTAAAAGAGTTTTATAAAAGTCAAATGCAACATGCTGTCTTCTTATTAGAACACTTTCTTTTTGCTTTTTGTAGGACATTGTATGATGCTTTCGACTGAGTGAGGGAGCTCTTTTTCTTTTCACTTTTCTGTCTGAAAAATCTGTTATAAAGATGAGACAGAGGACAGGAAACACAATGGAAACACAGTCAATCATATATATATTTTTTCTGTTTTGAATTGTAGGAACCCCAGCTTATTAGTTTAGTTTAGTAAAGAAAAATACACATTTGTTTTAACATTTTATTGCTGTCAACCAAATGACAATTAACCAAAAGCTACTATCTTAAATAACAATCATTAAATTAAGCAAATCAATATTTGGCATTAAAATAAGAAACATATGTTCATCCATACTTATTTAAGAATTTGAATTATTACCTAATGTACTAGTTTACAATAAGCTGTAATTACCTCAATGGTAAACAGAACCATACTGCATGACATCCTATTACTAATACTGCTTCTACGGCTTATGTAGGACTAACGCTGCCATAATAATAAATTAATGGATAAATAAATAAACATCCACATTGGCAAATAATGAATAAGATACGACTACGAATCAGGTTAAAATTATTATAAATGTGTGAATGTTAATTAAAACATTTTAGTTTTATGTATGTTCACTTTTATTTTGTTTTTGCCCTATTGCAATATTCTGTTCTTGATTTCTCCACCAAATGCAATGTAAGGGTCAGAGTGGGACCTAAGTGGAAACAATGAAATTGGAGATATATATATTAATGCAAACAGAAAATAATAATAATAGTAATAATTTCCTGGGTAACTCCAGACACCCTCTGCGTGACAGTATGGCCGCTCAGAGGAGTAATCCTAGCAACAGATTATATCACTGCGCTGCCAAACGGGCCATTTCCAGAGATCATTTGTTCCTTCGGCTGTCAGACTGTACAACAAACCTGGATGAGTCTTCTGCTGCTGACACTTGAATTTCTCCTACGGTGATCAATAAAGTATCTATCCATGTATCTATGTATCTATCTATATATCTATGTATCTATCTAATAAAGATAGATACAGAATAGATGTTGAATAATAATATATTTACTTTTAATCTCACCATTCGTAATCATGTCTTATTATTACTTTTGCTAATCTGGACATGTATTCATTCATTTATTTACAAGGCAGCTTAGCCCTTCCATAACAGCTGATGAGGTCCAAGTTTACGAAATGTTCTGTTCATCACAAGATGTGGACGTGCTTATTACTGGCACATCTGAGCATACTGGCACAGTCGTGGGGAAGGGTGCAGCTGCATCTCAGGCAAATTATCGTGGTTACAGTACAATGCATTTGAGCTGATGAGCCGAATCATTCAAAGTGCCACACAAAAGCCTAAGACAGAGCCCAGCATCCATACTCCAAGTGAAGAGAGGAAAAGAACAGGGTATAGCACATGACAAAGACACCAATATTAATGACAACACAAAACTTCAAGTAAACTGCATTATTCTAGACATGCAGACATGACAGTGGTGTGCACCCAGTTATCCGCCGGAGACAAACATGTTTAGGACCAGAGCGCTCTCAAACACTCTCCGCTAAGTGGCTAAGTGGCACTCAATTTGTCATTCTACATCAACATTCTAAACATGGCGGCAAAAAGATGTGACTGTAAAGAGTCTGTAAAGAGCATCTTCTTTGAGGCGAGAAGTGTCCAACATAAACATAAACTCTGGAAATAAATATAAACATAACATGGATGCAAGCTGGCAAAAATAAGCTTTTTCTCATCATTTGGCAAAATAGTAAAACGTTAAAGAGTCCACGTCCGTTCCGCGTGAAAACACCTTAAAAATAAATAGTAACATCCTTGCTTTGCTTTGTATTATGTTATTTTTCCACTTTTACAGTACCAAGACAAGAAGTAGGACCACACACCTAAAAGTCATCAAGATTTAATAGCCGAGCCCAGAAATGTTGAAGTAACCAGAGCGACGAGGTGAGGACAACAGTATTATGCTGGTTTTAGAAGGGCAGGCATCAACCAAAAAAAAAAAAGCAAGTCAACGTTATCTGGCTCATAGCTTTTCCATTGTTCTTCTGTAAAAGGTTTGGCGAAAAGTCACAAGTTCTTTTGAAGTTGGCCCCATGTTGACGTATACTCACGCTTACTGTCGTTTGTGAATGCATCAACATTAACAGAGTTTGAGGTGAAAAGTTGGTGTCAAAGGAGCAAGAGCGTAGCCAACGGAGATCTTAGTAATGCCCCATCCTGGCAGCGAGGAGGCTGCGAGAGCGCGGGGCAGTGGCCGATGACGACATGCGGCCAAAGCTGGACGAAGGCCACTTGAACAGGGAGGTGACTGGCAGCAGATACCTGGGCAGATGGACAAGAGCCGGGGAGGGTGCGGGGATTACAGAGGAGGGCAGAAATAATGAGAGGATTAGATATGCAAAGGTCATTCTATAGAGGTCAGGCCATGGCTGCGTTCAGCCAAATATCACTCAGTTCTACCATTTAGTTTGTTTGCACATATTAACCAAGGGATGATTCAGACTTTAAATCCAACTTTAAAAGCAGCAGAAAATGAGCTCCAGATGGACTTCTTTTTGTATTTCAACTGGATTCCTAACAGCAGTTGCAAAACTAGTAGACCAGTACTGCATTATATTAAAATAAGGAGTGTTTCTCTTTACCTACCTAGTACTTAACTAGGTCCACACTCGCAAAACAGTTTGGTTCTATCAGTAGTTTCCACATGTAATTTTGGCCTCTGTCATCATCTTTAGCTTTTCTTTCAGACAGAAAAGTGAACCACCCTCACACCAAAGTGTCCAATAGTGACTCAGAGGGCTCTTTCTTAGAGTAAGCAAAAGATAACATGTTGTCTAATATAATAAACATATACAGACAACATATTTTAGTCCAATGTATTCACATTTAACAAACATGTATTATTTATGAGTAAAAAAGTTAGGTCCTCCAGATATAACCACAGCTAAAGTTGGATGATACAAACATGTATTTTGTGTTTTCATCTGTATGTGTGTATTTGTTTTTCCCGGTGAGGCTTTTCACATCCCCCAAAGACTCCTTGTAATACAGAGTGCCAGGTTCTTTCCAACACACAACCTTGAGTACTTGATATTGAAATATGCAACATCTATTTTTGTCAAGCAGAAATATCTTTACTACGGGAGAAAAAAACACAATTCTGAACTTTGGCCTTAAAGCTTTTAGTATCATGAACAAAGGATCCTCACCTACTGTATCATTCCGAGGCACCGGCGTCAGTACCTTTCTAAGACTTTCCTATGACACCTTCCACCGAGACAGAGCAGTGAGGCAGCTCCTGCTAACAGCGTTCCAGTACCTGAGAATGAGACCAGCGGCAGGTTGAGAGAGTGTGGGAGCGGCTCGCCCACTGTGGCTATTTTTACCTTAATAACTGAAAAAAATATTATCAGAGCAATGTCAGATGAGATAGATCAAGCCTAAACCGGCCCTGGTGATACTTCATTCAAGCTATGGGGACACCTTGTAGGAAAAAAAGTAACTTGAGCACCCGCCTCTCCTCTATGCTACTTTGCACGTCAACATTATTGACGTTATTATTACATTATTTCACATTTTGTCCCATCTTTTGCTTAATTTATTAACCCTCAATCCAATCTGTGTACTGCACCGGGCCCTGCCTGGGTGTCCTCTTCAGTCCTGGATCTAGAGTCTCTCAATGTGGTTCTCCCTGAGGTTTTTCTCGTTTTTATCTCTCTGGGTGTGAGGACAGTTGATGATTCAGGACATGCATGGCCATTGGTTAACATGATTTAGAACAGTGACTCTTGTGTGTTTTATTATTGTACTTACATGTGTTCTAATTGTTTGATTCTCTAAACTGCTGAAAGTGAATAGGTTATGTTCATGTGACATCACACCATTCCTATAGTTAAACAGGAGGGCCGTGGAACCATCTTTCCTGGTAAAACTAGGTAACAGTCAAAAGTAAAACCTCAATATCTCTGTAATCTATCTATGGTCTAATTTATTTTTTGTTTTTTATATTAAAAAACCATATGCATGATTTTGGCCTGTAAAAAAAGACGTTCATACACAACAACAACATATGGCAGGTTTGTGAATCTAACCACTATCAAATGACCTTTTAACATGCCTCAATCTTTGTAAGAGATGTAGAGATGTATTGGCACCTGCCCTCAATTTATACAATGTACTGTATGTTAAAAGAGCAGTATGTAAAAATCTGGCCAAAAGTGGGACTGCACTCTTCCTAACTCAGGTTGCCAGATATGCAGACAAATCCAGCTGGAACCATAATATCTGAATAAAGAGTTTTGTCAACAACAAATCTATAACCAACACCTTTTTCAGAAAGAAAGAAATCCTGGTTATCTTCCTTGTTTTGTCGTTAATGAATTGAGAATAACTTTTATAGTCCCGCTGCCACATGATACTTTAGCTTGACGTAGTGAGTTCTGGCAACCTGGCTCACAGACTTTCTGATGAAAATCTTACATATTGCTACTTAAAGTGTTGCTATTGACAAGTGGTCTTCTTTTCGGACAGGATGTATCAACATAAAAACACGTTCACCTCCTTGCCTTATCCACACTAAGGACCTTTAGCGAATAGAAAACTACACACGCTGTTAAATGAGCGGAAATGGTCAAAAGAATAGTCCCGATGGAGGCATTGAGATGTGACAATCTAATCAAAAGAAGAGCCAGTGGGGCTGAGGATTACAAAGAGCAGGAATAATATCCTCTTTTAAGCTGCGCAGATATAGAACACTTTTTTTCCCTGACAGCTCTCTTTCCTTTTGAAATAGCTCTCGGACAAATTAGCCAAGCAGATTCCTCCAAAGTCGAGCAAAAAAAGGAAGGGGAGGGTAAAAAATGAGTATGTCGCTAAGGGGGGTGTCCGCTTCAACAATCAGATCAGCGAGAGAGAGGAGGTACTCAAATTAACTTCATTTAGTCCAAAGTGGGGTGTCCTTGAAATAGCTTGGCAGGTGTCTTTGGGGTGTGTATCCCAGGACTGTCCCCAGAAACGGAATCAGAATAAAGATTTACTTTCTGGAACACTTGTCATTGGTTAGAGATGTGTTTTGGGGGTGAGTTTTGGCAGCAACAACATATAAATGGAAACGTTTAACTTTCAATTTTGTTTTGCATAATTGTAGAATGGTATATATTGGGCAGGAAATACGACCCACAATAATGTCCACACTTCCTGTTTGAAGACCGCCATGTTGTCACAATGCTTTCAAACTCAATTTTTATATCAGAAAAAATACAAACTCATAACCAATTTTGATATTAAAGTAATCAATTATCAATGAATCAATAATGTAATATATATTTAATTATTTATATTTTTTGTATACTCAGGCCATAAGGTATATGTTATAGGTATAATATAATGTCTTCTAAATAAATTCTCCATAAATTAACTGTCTCTTTTTTATGTAATTATTTTGATATTGATACTTGCTGAAATTAGAATCTAGTTTTGAAGTTAAATACTTGAGGAGGTGACAATAACGCACAAACACTATGTGTATTTTATGCTGTATTATTTGTCATTTTATTTTAGTCTTTTGTGCCTGTGAAGCACTTGTTGTTGCTGTAAATGTGCTATACAAAAAAAGTTGACATTGACAACAAACCCTGCCCTGCATGCATGTATGTATTATGTATGTATTTACATCAAACTGATTTGAACGTGATTTTGGGATTTATTTATTTCGTCTTTAAAAAAAAAAAACAGAATGTCTAATATTGATTTCTTTACAAACACCAATACTATCACGGAATCCCTGTCGGTAAGTCTTTTGAAAAAATATAAATAAAAATCCCCATTGTCTGACTAGCCCTCAAGTTTCAATAAGTTGCACAGCCTTTCTCAGAAGCGTCTGTTTTACCCAATTTCTATGATCCGTCTTTTTAAAACTTTATTAAATACATATTTTTTCTTCACCTTTTCCATTTCGTTTCTTTGATGTTCCCGGTCCTGCCTGGACTTTCATATCTGCCTTTGTATGTGTTGTACTGTCCTGTCTAACGTACATTTTGACTGTCTTGTGATTGATCAAATAAATAAGATAAGATCCACATGAATACGACCCTGCTCTCACATACATCTCATTTAAGCGCAAACTAAGGAGAATAAAAGGTGATAAAAATGTAGGTTGAAAATCAAATATTGATCGTTCATCGGGAGTGGAGCGGGTATGTTCCCCAGCGCTACTCTCTTATGCACTTTGAGAATATTCAGTGTGTGCACAAAGAATCGGTGGCAACGGGTGCGAGGAGAGCGCGAGCGAGGGAGGCATGTCCGAGCTCCCGATGTCTCTGCAGGCTACGATTAATTGGCCTCTCATTCTGCATCGTCCAGGTTCATCTGAGCTTTTGATCATGGAGAAGATCTTAGCAACAGCCAGGCATGCATGAGAGGCCAAAGGGGGGTAGGACAGTTCATGCCTTTCTGCTTTGCTTCAATCCATCACTTCACAGGGAGACAAGAGAGATATGCTCTTCGCTCAGGACGAAAGCATGCAAACCTGCAATCTGGCCTCTCAACATCAGTCAGAAGCACTCACCGAGATGCGTCTGCCAAAGCCATTTAGAAGACAGGGAAATAAAACAAGAACAAAAGCCGCGAGACCGCAACAATAGCTGACGAAATCAAGAGCTGCAGAGATTGAAGGTATTTTGAAGGTGATCTGTTGAGCCCACTTTTGGTTCACCGCCTCGATTAACCCTAATTACGGCCACATTACTCCAAACTGAGAATAGCTAATAGAATTTGAAACTTTTGTCATCATGGGAAAATTGTCTTTGGCCTGCGACAGTAATTCCAAGCTAAACGGGAAAGTCATTAGTGAGGCTATTAGGCTACATCTCATCTGCCCACACAGAACAGGGGACTTTGGGAAGAAGCTGTTGACACATCTGATCAGAGCGCTCGGAAAGGGGAAGGGACAGTACATCGAAAAACTCTGTGTATACACTCAAAATACCCATATCTTTAGGCCAGACTTCAGTGTACTGCTGTTGTCATAAAGCACTATGAGCTAACTGAAGTGGTCATTTATTTTAGTTTTCTTGTTTTGTCTCATTTGCGTTGTACAGATTAAGTTGTATTTAGTTGATTTGGACCAGGACGTGTGTGTTTTTATGTGTTGGTTCTTTACAAACACGGCACGATGGCTGAGTGGGTAGCACTCTCGCCTCTCAGCAGTCTTTCTGAGTGGAGTTTGCATGTTCTCCCAGTGCTTGCGTAGGTTTCCACCAGGTACTCCGGTTTCCCCTACCACTAAAAACATGCGCACTAGGTTAAATCCTCCAGCTCCAGTCCTGACCAAGCCAAGCATCGACATCTGGAGATGGGTTCCTGGGTGCTGTTACTACGGTGACCACTCCTGACGTAAGCCTTAGTGGCATCAGGATGGGTCAAATGCAGAGGATGGATTGCCTACGGGGATCAATAAAAGTGCACCTGTACTGTGGAAAAAATCCATTAGTTAAACGTGGGAAGAAAACCCTCCGAGGAAAACCCTATTGCCTTTTACGTTTGCATCTGTTAATGCCACTTGCCAGTTCCATTCAAAATATAAATACAACATCTTTGTTGATTGGAATTTATCCAATGGAAAAAACTGACGTAATTCTCCTACAGTATGTTCAGAGCACCCAACAAGCATCAGAATGTTACTGATTATTGCCACATTCAAAAACATACAACATACTTGATCATTAATCCCTACATTTCAAAATAAGGTGAAATGCATGAGTTACTTGTGTACATTGTGATGAAGAAGATGAGAGGTTTTGTGTATCAGCCACATGACATACAGTAGGCATGCAAAGTCTGACGTTAACCTCTCAGACACACTTTCATTTCCAGGTTGTGAATGTTCAATGATGAAGAGAGTGTGCAGCTTTCTCTAAAGATGAACACACTCACCATGCACTCACTCACAGGCAAGATGCTCTTGATAAGAAAGAGAACAGCATGAAGGGCCGTTTGGCAGTGAGTGGCAATGCAAAGCACACTGGGTAAATGGTTGCAGGTAAAGCAGACATGATGGTCATACCACATTGACAATGCTCCATCTCTGCATATTTCTAAAGCTAAGTAGTGTTGAGACTGGTTAGAGGTTGGATGGGAGATAAAAATACACCCAGTCACAGTAGGTTAGCAGTGGCTCAAGTATTATTGTGTCCTTAGGCAAGACATTTCACACAGCCTGCTTAGACTGAATCTAGTGGAAAAGTGAATAATTGGTGGTGGGAGGGTCAGATGACACGGATTGGCCGTCTTTCTTCCATCAATTCTACTACAAGGCATTATTAATGGTTATAAAGGTCTTTTGTTTTACCATAACAAAACTATTCTTAATCATTTAAGCACTAGAGTTTTTTCATACATTTGATGGGAAACAGAAAAAACCAGAGGCCTCAACCTTTATAAGATATAGGGGACTTGTGAAGTCAATAATGCATAAACATAAAATAAAATGAAAGAAAAGGTGTGTGGGAAGCCAGGGTGCTATATAGAAAGTAGGGCTGGGAAATAAAAAGTGTCTTGTATTCATAGAAAATCCTCATCTTTGGCACTTAAAGGGTTACATATAAGATTGTAAAAATTAAAAAGTTGAAAAGTTTTTTTGATTGACACTAAAAAAGGGAGTGCAGACTGTATGAGACTGTTGATGTGGCGACCAAATCAAATAATTCTGTGACAAGTTTTTGTTACAGAGTGATACATGGGCAACAAGCAGAAAAGCAGTGAAAAGGACAGTGGGTTTAGCAGAACTAAACCAAGCAGAGACCTGCGTCGAGAGGCGAAGAGGAGGAAGAAGCAGCAGCAGCGGAGTCATGGGCAGAGGCTGCTCCAGCGGCTAATGGCAAGCTTTTTACACACGTTATACACACATATTTAGACACAGGAAATACAGCATCTAGAGAGCAGTATGCCTATGTAAAAATACACATACAGGCATACAAAAATATATACATGAGCGATGTTAGATTTATCTGATGACTTATTACCGCTTAAAGTGAATATAAGTGAATATACCACCATTATGTATGAATGTATGAGAAGGGATAGGAATAACATAGGCGTTTTCTTCCTCCAATGCATTTGCAAACAATGTATTTCATTTTTATCATTGTTTTGCCTGTGATTTTCTGCAGGTACGTGTTGTGCCGGTTTGTAATGAACATGCCATTCAATTCAATAAACATCTAAGATAATAATTTGCCATAATCAGCAGCATTATAACTAAGAAAACTTGACTTTTGTAAATAAATAAATACTAATAAAATTGAATTAACCATTGAACAATTAACAAATAATTTTGAAGAAACAATCTTCACTCTATTATATTAACCATGACATTATTTCACATATTCATGTGTTAAATATATGTACGAACTACTGTATATTCTATACACCAGCCTGTCCTATCCTACTCACCCTCCATTTAATGTGGAGGTTGTTCTACAGTAGATACAAAGTGATAGCCTGTTCAAAAATGCGTGTGAGTTATGAATCATGTAACACGAGGCCTGAGGAAAAAGGAGCTCTCTCTCCCTCATAAGGTCATTGGCAGCACAGCCTCATCTGGGCTCTAATTGAATTAAGCAGGCCTCGGGGGGCCAGGGCTAACCTGAGCGCTAATCTGTGGGCCATTATTTCCTGTTAACGGCACGTTCCCTTGCCTCAGCCCGCCTGCTCCTGCCTGCCAGCCCACAGCATATGTGCTTTAAAAAGTTCACTCGATTGTGAGCCCTGGATCCTCTCTCCTTCAGGGAAATGCTCTGAAATAGAACAAGGCTGATTTGTATTTGTTTGTTTTACTGCAGTTATGAGAGATAGCTTCAAGGTTTCAATATGCAAGAATAAGGTGTCAATGAGTTGTGCCAAAAGCTTGAATTAATTAATTAATCTTTAAATGTGTAATTCTAATCCGTGTAGCTATCATTATAATCCTGTTTATAAATAAGCATTGGTTATTTAAACGATGCCAAAAGCAGTTACAGTATGTCTCCTCAAAGACGCTTCAATGTATTTGATGTATATAATTGATGTCACTTTTCTATGAGTGCACTTGTACACTCACCTTGTGTCATCCCATTCAGGGCTCAATCCAGTCAAAGAGCCTCTGGACTCGGACACAAACTTGTAAACGACCAGCAGACAGTCTCTGCACAGCTGGACCAGCCGGCGGCAGCACTGCAGCTCCAGGGGAGACACCACCTCACTGCTCCGGCTGAAGACGCTCTCCCACGACGACCTGAGATAAAAATGATTACACAAATTAGTCACATTATAGTTATGTTATGTTATGTCCCACTGTGGGACTGTGGCTTTAAAATGTTGATGTGTTCTGAGACAAGACGCTTCCCACGTTAAGAAAAAAAAAATCTTTTTAACGTGGAGAAAATATGCATAAGACATTGAGGTGATATGTTATATCACCTTAATGTCATATGCTCTACAGCATAAGGTAGAGCATATGGCATTAAGTGCCAAAACATTCAAACTTGTGGCCATACTTGCATACAAAAGCTAGATCCAGTCAGTCCTCTGCAGATACTGTATGCAGGGGAGGATGTGGTTATTATTGTGATGGGAGACCTCTGGGAACACCAGGTGCCACAGTGGGGCGGCTGCGGCTTTTAAGTGCCAAACTGCTGTTGTGTCCGAAGGCAAGACAATTCACCCACATTGCCCAGAATAAGTCTGGTGTGTGTGTGAATGGCTGGTGGTGCTCGGAGGGGTCCATGGCACATACTGGTTGCCTGGCTTCTGTCAGTGTGCCCCAGGGCAGCTGTGGCTACAGTAGTAGTGTATCACCACTGTGTATGGAGTGAATGAATAATGACATGTGAAGCATCTTTGAGTGTCCTGAAAAGCGCTAAATAAAACTAATGCATTATTATTATTAGTGGTAACCTCTGTGCCGCTTATAGACATGCAAAGTGACATACACCAAGCCTTTGTTTGATATAATTATAATAACAAAAAAGGTTTGCTTTATCTCCTTATGTATGTAATGAGTCTGAAAAAAGTAGTTTCTCATTGTAAGTTGACTTACAGGAGTAAATAGATTTCTGAACGATATTCTAATCATCCCAGTTTCACCTGTATCGCCCACATATACAAAAACAATGCACATTAAAAGACAAGTGCAGTGCTGCCATCTGAAGAAAACAAGAAATAGTAGATCCGGGATTTTTACTAGTATGCAGGACAAATTGACCCTACTGTATATCCTCAGAGTGCCACACAGCAACACACAGGAAGAAAGACAGACACATTGGGTAATAAGATAAGCACAGTTAACGCTCCTTTACAACCTAGAGCCTGCCCCTGACTGTGAAAGAGCAGCTTGTACCCAGACACCCAACCTTAGGGGGGTATGTTTGATGTCTACACCCTTTCAATACATCAATAGCAGAAAGTGTGGACATTCAAAGGGTAGAAATTGTGCGTTCTTATCCTCTTACCCCATGTAATTTGTCAAAGAATGATGAATGAATGAGCCACAATAGCCGCTGGGTTGTTTGATTGCAGTTAAGTACTTTAGACAAAATATCAAACAAGACACACAGAAGCATTGGGGCCAGACCCCTGGATTAAAAGTGTATTTTTGAAGTGCTTCACCCTCGCTGTGGGACATCAGGACCCCCACTGGTTTCCTTCATGTTTGGTTAGCCTGCCGTTTAGATGTCTTTAACAAAACAGCCAAGCATACGAGGGTAAAATTGGGCATAATACCCTGACTAATATAGCATTGTCTTGCAATGCGTTAGGATTGTCATACAGAACATACATTTTTGACTGCCTGATAATAATCTTAGACCATATATTAGGAGTGGATTGGCTGTGTTTCCTGAATGTAGAAAAAGCTAGATGGGGTCATTTCCCTTATGCACTTTTATTCCGACAAGGATAGCTTCATGCCGTGACAGAGGAAGACTATGCTACATAAAAGAATACATCCATGGGCCAAATATGTTGCAAAGACAGTTGCTAAGGAAGTTCCTGTCTGAATGAAGGCATCAGATTGAGTTGTAGCAAAACTGTGTTCATTGGGCTTCATTGAGCTAGCAGGTTAGCATTGTAACCTGATAGCTCAATACAGTCTATTATTATAGACTGTATTATTATTATACAGTCTATAATAATAATAATGATAAGAATAGAAATTTAGAGTGTATGTATGTGTCAATCATTTATTGCGTGTCATATGCTGCATGTCATTGTAGGAGTGCAGGTGTATTAAATGGAGATCAGCAGTCAGCTACTTTGGTTACACATAATCCTTCTCTTGCTGAGGGATACACGAACTCACTATAACTTTGCTGAAGCAACTTAATACATAGGATAGGTTACTTTCAGGATCTCACTTAAAGATAGAATAGATTAAAAGACACTTGTAGTCAGCTGTCTGCCAAGCATTACTGCTGTTTCCTACATGTCTGAGACAGTTTTAGCATGAAAGTAACCTGCCAAGAGCAATGACATGCATCTTGACTTGTCTTGCTACATGACTGAATCTGAGAAAGTAAGTAAAAAAGAACGTTTTTTGCTGTGACATAAATGAAGTATTTCAAATTATTTTCTATTTATAAATGGGGAGGTGTTCCGGGCACGTCCCACCGGGAGGAGGCCCCGGGGAAGACCTAGGACACGCTGGAGGGACTGTCTCTCAGCTGCCCTGAGAATGCCTTGGGGTCCCTCTGGACGAGCTGAAGCTAGTGTGGGCATCTCTGCGAGAAATGCATATACTGTATGTCTTTCATGCAGTTTGGTCTTAGAGTATTATCTCTTAGAATATCAATTGCATATTAAAATGTATATCGAATCACATATCCTTGTTCAAAACAAGTTTATAAATAAGATTAATCACATACTTAAAAAAACTCAAACTAAAAATGTATTAATTGAAAGAATGATTGCTGAAAAATTAAATTAAAAAAATATGTGTTAGTTGCAGCCCTACAATAACAATGAGTGATGAGAATGTGAGACAGTGTGAGCAGATTGATGACTTCAGAATATTTTAGTGTCTGTTTTAATATTTATAGAAATGCTTTGAAACATCAAAATCTGGATATATATTTTTCACCACAACCTGCTCAGGGTCTGCAGGTGTAAATTTGCTATACTTGGCCATAGCATCTCTCCTATGACTTTGTGTTTAATGTTTTGTTGCACACGTTCAAATAAAAGCTGATGTACATCATACATGTACATCATAAAAATGATGTAATTCAGTTACAAAAAAAAGTGTGAAAAGGTTTGTGCTACCACAACATCACAACAACAAACCTAAAATACACCTATTACCGGCTGTACCTTCTCTGATTTAAGTTTCCCTTGTCAAAACTAATATGTGTGTTTTCTGTATAAAATAAAATGTATACAATATGAATTTATATAAAGTTTCTGCTTGAGCTTGTGCGTGACCTACCCTGTGTGGGAGAAGCAGTTCCACAGGCCCTGGCCGTGGCTCCAGAGCAGCCGGTTAAATATGCGAGTGAACATCCTGTACAAGTGAAGGTTCTCAACCTCTGGCTCTCTCCAGATTCGCTGCAGAGCGGAACGGACATTTGTACGGACTATGTCTAGTACCTGGACAAGAAAATATGTAGTAGTAAAAAGCATGTTCACACAATGACTAATATATGCATAATGTGGCATTTGTTCCTGCTGTTAAATTAGCCTTTTTTTTTCATAAAAAATCCTTCATAAAGTTCACAATCATAAAAGCAAATGTACTTTCATCAGTGCTAACACACAAGAAAGTGAGAGTGCACATCCTGACAGTGGGTTTGTGCGTGTGCCGACAGTGCAGACATACGAGAGCACTAATTGCTGCTCTGTGACGGTGTTTGAGAGGAGGTGTCAGAGGCTCCTGGCGATCTGAGGACACCTGCACCTGTCTTCTCTCAACCCCAAACACACCTCCTCTTTCTCTCTATTCTCCCCACCTCAAAGTGCTCTGTTGTCGCTTGTTGGACGCCACATTTTTGCTGCTCATTACTGACATGCCAATCGCGCGTGTGTAAAGCAAAGTGGATGCAGAGGTTTTCCAGACAGCAAAGTATGTTATTCTGATGGAGAAGTAAACACGCACACATATGTTTTGGTGTGGTAATCAGATGGCAGTGTGGCATCCCTGACCTCCGCCTGCTGCTCATTAGGCAGCTCCACTCTAAATAAGATGAGAATAAGCTACATCGTGGGTGAGCCTGCTTGTGCACGGAGCAACAGTTGAGGGATCGGATAATACGCCTAGCAGATGCTGTGTTTTTATGTTGTGTTCCATTTTGTTTACAACCTATTTGGTGCACCACTGTCTGAGATGCTAATGATGCCCACTTTTCCAGTACATCTCAGATTTTTGAAATGGGAATTATTTATGTAAAAAAAGTGACTCCAAAATGAGGAAAAAATAACATTTCAGTGGAGACAAACTCAAATACGAATACAAAATAGTATTTTTGGGACAATAAATATGTACACATTTTATTTTTGCGATACAATATGAAACAATATTGAAACGATAATATGTCATTTGTCATTTTCTACCCCTTTATTATTTCATTTCTGGGTCAGGGGGCTGCCACCCAAGTCTCAAAGCACCAGTCCCTCGCTGATCCTCCTGCAGGTGGTTGGTCCACAGGATGATGTCATCAAAAACATAACCTTGGTCTTTCAGAGGGGGCTTCAGTCAAAGCGGGGGGAATGAACCTACGACCATTAGGTACGAAAACCAATGCTCTACCGACCGAGCCACTGTCGCTCCATATAATAATTATACTATAATTATATTATTATATTATTATATAATATAATTATATAATAATTATATTATAAATATATGTGAATATTTAATTTACCATATTTTTTTAATTATAACCGACGTATATTCTGGAGCGACTAATGGGGGAAATTAATACATTTCACAATTTATTTACCGTAAAATATCAAATAATGTTAAGAAGAGTGATGTATGTATGCACGTATGCATGTATCATTTGACCACCCACAGGCTTTCCAGCGGGACGTTTTTGATCAGCCAGTGTTCTATTTGTATTAGCAAATGTATTTTGGTCATCAAAACCCACAAGCTGTATTTTAATTTAAAACCTATGTTCTCATCATTACTATATACAAGTGCAAGCAATACTAGACGTTACACTATAAAGATATAAAACTATAACAATAATAATGGGCACCAAATTAAGCCTTGTTTATCGCTTTCCTTAAATTTGGACTTCATAACATTGAAGAAATCCTTGTTTGCAATGGCTCATTCACTTGTAGCATGCTCTATAAAGTTATTTACGTAATATGTTACGCTAACATACTAGGCACGTTTTCAGTTCGTTCTTTATGCGTTAATTTTACATAAACATTTCCTGTTGTTCTCTATTTTATTTTTATTTTAAATTGCTTTTCAAGATGACATGTCTTCTTGGTGTTTTATCAAATAAATATCCCCAAAATTATGCGGCGTATACCCTAGTGCGACTTATATACGTTTTATTTCTTCTTTATAATTCATTTTCGGCTTGTGCAATTTATATTCCAGAGGGATTTATAATTAGAAAAATGCAGGAACTGACTATAATTTGTCAATTAATGATTACAAAAATGACTATCTATCTACTACCTAGTTAGTAATAACCCTCACCCTGGCAAACTGATGAGGGCTATGTCTCAGGAATTAAAAACTTAAACCCACTGTGAGTTGACTTTGTCTGTATGGACGCATGCATTTGCAATTACAGCTCCATCTTTATGTACATTTTGGAACCTGTCCCCATTTTGTCTTTGTGGACATGCCCACTCTTCTTCAGAACTGAGAGAAGTTAAAAATAAAGATTCAAAATCCGATGTATCCAGTGGATTTATTTATCTCTTTCCATCATATCTGCCTTATGAATGTAAAATGTTCATGAGTGTCTATATATATATCACTTGCCTTTCGTTGTTTGGTTGAGTCCAACTTCACTAACCAATAGGAGGCCACCTTAGGTTTGTGGTATTTCCAGTTGTCAAGAATCTGTAGAATATAAAGGAACATTTCAATCAAAAGCCAAGAATCAAAAGCGCTAAGAATACATTTGCAGAAGAAAAACAGAGAGAAAACTTTTCTATGGTTGTTGGTTGGATATAATCAGAATGCAAGCCTATAGTGAGCTGTCATCAGCATGCTATGGAGCGTCACAATGTAGCCTAGTCACAGATGTATTATTATTTTAAAATTAGAAGAATGTGTCAGTGAGGCAAAGGGTAGATATGCTGGAGATCTCATTTCCACACTTGAACACCCTTTCTGGCAGAGTTTCTTTCACACTTCAGCCCAGACCAGGAATCTGAAACATTTCTGGCTGTGTCTGTTGAGGTAATGGCTTTTGGATTTCACACATATAGAAAAGCTCTCATTTTCAACATGACATATTGTGGCGGGAGCTTTAACATCTGGAAAGAAACCGGAAACAAAAGAAAGTGAAGGTAATAGAATTACATGCTAATTTATGATCACTTTAACGAGCAGGCAATGCATCTCCTAAAATTGCTTGGCTGTTTCTTTTTGTATTATCATGTTTATTTATTTACAGCACAGGCATTTTTATGTTAACATTTTAAGTGAAGAAATTGTTTTGCATATTTGGTGCCTTTAATCTAGTGGTCTAGTGTTCTCTAGGATACTGCCAACTTGATCTCACATGTCATGCATCGTTGCAATATCCTTAACTTACATCAGAATGTGCAATAACCACATGTTACTGTCACTTTACTGACAGTGACATGTGTCCTTGTGTCCTAAAGCCTCATGCTGCTAATGTACAGATGTAAACATACTGCTGCTAATGTACAGATGTAAACATACTGCTGCTAATGTACAGATGTAAACATACTGCTGCTGATGTACAGATGTAAACATACTGCTGCTAATTTGCAGATGTAAACATACTGCTGCTAATGGACAGATGTAAACATACTGCTGCTAATATACAGATGTAAACATACTGCTGCTAATGTACAGATGTAAACATACTGCTGCTGATGTACAGATGTAAACATACTGCTGCTAATTTGCAGATGTAAACATACTGCTGCTAATGGACAGATGTAAACATACTGCTGCTAATATACAGATGTAAACATACTGCTGCTAATGTACAGATGTAAACATACTGCTGCTAATGTACAGATGTAAACATACTACTGCTAATATCCAGATGTAGACATACTGCTGCTAATGTACAGATTTAAACATACTGCTGCTAATGTACAGATGTAAACACACTGCTGCTAACATGTACAGATGCTAACATAAAATACAATACAATTTACAATACAACTTGTTCTTGTATAGCCCTAAATCACAACAGCAGTCATCTCAGAGGACTTAACAAAACCATTGAAATCATCAACACAGATCAGAGAATCAACAGTTAAAACACATAAAGAATATAGAACGCACGTTGAAAAATGTCCATACATGTTGTAGAATGTTAAAGTGTCCTGGATCATCACCACAGTTTTTCTAGTTGGATACTAACTGCCCAACAGACCCTCCTGCATCAGCAAGGAAAAACTCATAAGAAAACCCAGTGGGAAAAAGTGAGAAACCTCGGGGAGACCCAAGGTATAACTACATTTACACTAGAATACACAGCACTTTATACTTGCCTCTTATTGCCAAATGTTAAACTTTTACACCTCTTGTATTATTATTTTTCAAGATAGAGATGTTATACTTATTATTGATGCTAGAGTTAGAAATTTTGTTTTATTTTAATTAGTATAGCTATCGTTCATTTAACTTGTGCCGTGTGCTCCTCTTTCCTACTGTCCTATAACTTGTGATGCAACACTGAAATTCCCCCAATGTGGGACGAATAAAGGATCTCTTAATCTTAATTTTATTTGGAAATATACTGAAAACACATGAGCAAACGAATGCCAAATGCCAAATGTTTCTGGTCAGATTAACGGTACAGTGTGCTGTCATGGCCTTTGACACATCCAGAGTGGCTTGCAGCACAATTTAAACAATTTGGTTTGAAGTATTGTATGGTTTCAGGTAAGGTAAGGTAAGGTATATTTAAATTGGATGACTTGATATTGCCAAGATATTAATTCTCCAAGATCAATGTCAACGTCGTTTGCCCAGGATCAGTGTTTAATTGGGTTAGGGTTAGAATCAGGTTAGGATACAGTTCACTACGGTAAGAGTTAGAACTAGGACTAAAGTGAATTGATTACATTAAATTTTAAAGGTAAAAACATAACCAATAACAAATGTGACCTTTTTAAGAATATTTACCTCCACCATGTTTTTGAATTGTTTTCATAGGCTTAGAATTTGACTTACAAATGTCCATGAGAGCTGGAGGACTCTCCATGTCAATGCGCCATCTTGGAATACAATGGTTGATAAGGGACCAAAAGGAGTTTGAGCGGGAGTTGGGGACCACTGTCAAAGACGACATATTGTCCTGCAAAGCTGGCGTAATACCATCAATTACAATATATGATTACAATGCAAGATGGGAGTAAAAACTACACCGTGTACCTTTTAAAGTGATAGTCTGGACTTTGTCAGGAAAAAGAGAGAGAGGTACATGATTTGAAAAAAACAACCCAAGCTCCCTCCTCCTTCCTTTCTGATTGGTCTTCAAGTTGCGCCTACTTTTCCGTGCACGCGCCAGAGGAGAGATGATCAAATATTATAATCTATTTCATAATTTGTTATACAGTTCATCACAGAAGCAGTAGAACGCTCGATGATTTGAATGTAATTTCAAAACGTTCTACCGATCATCATTTCTTGATAAAGGACCTCTCAAACCATATAATGACCGCTGCCCTTTGGCAACGCACTCTGTGCTTGTAATTCAGGTGTGTAAAATACTAAGATTACTCTGGACAGTAGTTTGTACTCCGTTCGTCACAACGGGCTTTCAGCGCCTGTCACTTATTACTTCTGTCTGTGTGAGAGAAGCTATCGGAGCTAGCCACGCTCAATAAACATGTTTAACAATCAATCAACACATTTAAATGTTAATCGGAGAATAAATTATACATATACCTCTGTTAAAGTTTTCATGACAAAAATACTGTTTTAATGCGCTAAAATGCGGTCGCGGAAAATCCTGAAGTAACCATTGCCATTAATGGAACATTAAATCATAAAATAGAACAACTCATAAAATGACTGATTTTGTATCAACATTTAAGCCCAGGAGGTCAATTTAATACAATTCTTAAAATGTGTAATTCATTTAGAGTTCCAGACTATCACTTTAAATAAATACAAATTATGGACCATTCATTACTGGTGATGATCATGCTCTTTATTGTCCTATTGTCTTTAGTGGTCACTGCAGAGCAGCGCCTGGGAACCCATCTCCAGCTGTTGTTATTCGTCTGTGATACACTTGCCACCGTGAGGTACGACCGAGAGACACTTCTCTACATTCGGGACCGAGCTTGTGGAGTATCGCAGGTCTTACCCGAACTGAGGTGCTCGGACTTCATTGAGTGCCCCACTCGTGAGGCCCGTCAAACATGGCAGGCGGGCCGCGGCAATGGCCGCGAACAGAGCGGGGGGACTGGGCGTTTCCACCGTGCTCTCCGCGGTGTGGAGCTGGGTACCGGGAGCCGACGTAGGAGGCGCAGACACCGGGGAAAACGAGGCGGTCTGCTCGTGAGATGCCGCTCCTGCAGGACCGCTCTGCCCTCCATCTACCTGGCGAATGTACAGTCTCTGCCCAATAAGACAGACGAGCTCCTGTGTCGGGTCCAGAGCCAGCGAGAGGCCCGAGACTGCGCTGTGTTCTGTCTCAGCGAGACGTGGCTCCACACGAACGTCCCGGACTCTGCTGTTCAGCCCCCGGGATTCACCGTTCACCGCGCGGACAGAGATAAGGAGACCACGGGGAAATCCAGAGGTGGAGGTGTGTGCTTTTTAATTAATCAGCGCTGGTGCACGGATACTCGCATCGTGAACCATACATGTACTGCCAATCTGGAATGCCTGGTCTTGAGCTGTCGCCCTTTTTATCTTCCGCGGGAGTTTTCTGTGATATTTTTATGCGCTGTTTACATCCACCCACGAGCGGACTATACTGTAGCACTACAGGATCTGAGCGAGATCCTTCATAAATACGAGACTGCTCATCCTAATGCAGTGATTATTGTCGCTGGGGATTTTAACAAATGTAATTTAAAGACTGTACTCCCAAATTTCTACCAACATGTGACTCGAGCTACCAAGAGGAGCACAGATCCTGGATCACTGCTACAGCAATGTGAAGGGAGCTTACAGGTCCAGTCTCAGACCTCCATTTGGAAAGTCCGACCACTCCTCTGTTCTCCTTCTTCCCTCATACACTCAGAGGAGCAGGGAACATAAACCAACCTCACGCACTGTGCAGTGTTGGTCCGAGGAGGCTAGCATGAAGCTACAAGGGTGTTTTGATGCCACTGACTGGTCTGTGTTTCAATCAGAGGATGTTAATGAATTCTGTGACGCTGTGACTGGATACATACGCTTCTGTATTGACTGCTGTGTCCCACAGAAGGTCATTAAAGTACATCTCAGTCAAAACCCTTGGATGAACGCGGAAGTGAAACAAAAACTTCATGAGCGTGCTCTGGCGTTTCAATCTAACGATACAGTTGCCTATAAGCTATCCTGTTATGCATTGAAACGTTCTATTAAATCTGCAAAGCGCAGTTACGGGGACAGGTTAAAGGGTTATTTTAAGGAAGATGACCCTCGGCGCATGTGGAACGGTATTAAAGCCATCACGTCCTGGAAACCTAGTGCTGGGAATATCGGATCTGTTGGCCCAGCTCTGCCTAATGAGCTGAACTCGTTCTACTGCCGCTTCGAATCTGCCGATGCCTGTCCTACTGTCTTTCCTGATTGCCTCAATCAAGGTGCGTTCACCGTGACTCAGGAGGCAGTCCAGCGGGTCTTGTCCAGTACCATTGTCCGGAAAGCCCCTGGCCCGGACGGCATCCCTCCTCGTGTCCTGAAACTGT